TCTTTAATTCATGTTGGATATTATAGAAGTAAATTTAGTTTATGATTTCTCATTAGCTTAATTAATCATGACCTATTCAAAGGTTAGTTTAGCTCATTGTTGTATATGTCCTAAGGCAGTGTGTTTTAATCTTTTTCTATGACCCAGATGGAATAAAGATCATTCTAAAGTCTATTACTTCTTATATTGACAAATTTGTGTATTGCAGTGTGATTCACAATTTGAAAAAGTTAATTTGTCCCCTTTTGAAGATCATCAAATAACTAAGCTAAACAAGGACACTTTTCTTTTTAATGCCAATATATTCCACATGATTTAATAAAATAAAGTGTGGTATATTGTAAGCTAAATAATACTTGTACGTTACACGCTGTAGGAACTATGAGGAATGATTCTTTTTTTATGTAAATGTCTTGAATGGGAAAACATGAAAGATTCTACTGCACTATCTTTTAATTAAAAGATGGTCATAAAAAAAGATTGTCAGCCACAAAATGTAGAGAATCAGGGCTTTAATTACTCCATTTTTCTCCAGTTCAACCTTGTTTAAATTAACCCAGTCCTGGAGTTTATTGAAAACTTTGATATCAGAAAGAATTTGAGTTGTGGTACATTCATTTTTTATGAATTTTATAGAAAATGTCCGTGTCCATATTCTTTTATAGAGTTATTGCCTTTTTGAATGAGTTCTTAAGAAATGCTAGATATTTAAGAAATAGTTTTGTGGCTGGAATATTCCTTTTTAGGTGCCAAGTGTTACTTACTCCTTCCATTGAGCTGTGTAGGAAGGAACAGAAATTCTGACGAGTCCAAATCAGCCTGGTTTTATTTTCAGGTGAACAGGCTGCAAAGGTCATGAAGTGGCTTGTCATAGTAGGATCAGACTCTCGCAGGCGAAGAACTGTCTGTTAGCTGATTGATTGGTGGAGAGGAATTAGCAATCTGTGAAATGCTCTCTAGAAGTAATTCTCTTCTAAGGGTCAAGAACTATGGTCACTCTTTTCTCTGGCATGATTTGAGGCTACTCATTTGTAGTCTTCCAAAAACTGAAAATGGAAGATGTTTCCTCATTCATTTTCCTCCCCTGCCTAACATCAAATCAGTATTACCACCTTCTGTTCTGCCTTCTACCTTAGTGAGACTTAAAATTCATTAGCTTCGTCTTTATTTATGAATTTGTTATCACATTTCTCTTTTAAATATTATAACTCAGAACATGTACATGAAGGACAATGTAACACAAAAGATTTGGTGGCTATCTGGTGAGTCTTAAGTAATATGTGAGGAGAATATATGATGGAATACACACATATACACACCCACATACACACACACACACACACACACACACACACACGTAATCACATAATGTGTTTCCTGTTGTAAGGCTGACAAAAAGTTACTATGTCCTTTTAGTCCCTTTCCACTTTCTTCTCTATGTGACTGCTAGAGTTATTCTCATTAATAAAAAACTATTGTAAAGATACTGTACAGAGGGGTTACAGTTACATGAGTAAGGTAATGAGTACATTTCCTATCGAGCATTGTGATTCTCTCCTTTGTTTTTTCCACTTCCCTCACCACCTCCCCATCTCCTCCCTTCTCCCCACCCAAATTGTAAAGTTCGTTTTGAACAGTATCTTGTATATCTCATTGTTATAATGGGTCAACCCATTATTTTTTTATGTGGTTTGAACTGTGTCATACTCCTAGATACAAATCTTCTAATCGTTTCAGTATAATGGTAGGGCAAAATATGAACTTTTCATAGCCTGTAAAATGTGTTCTATTTACTTGGATTTCAAGCTTGTTCTTTCCATATTTTTCATGCTTTCTAATAAAAAGTTACTTGACATTCCCCAACACTCCATATATATATATATTATATGTATATATATATATATATGACTTTTCTTCTGCTTTATTTGTGATTGCAGCTACATTTCCTTTCTTCCTTCCTTTTTTCTTTCTTTCTTTCTTTCTTTCTTTCTTTCTTTCTTTCTTTCTTTCTTTCTTTCTTTCTTTCTTTCTTTCTTTCTTTCCTTCCTTCCTTCTTTCCTTCTTTCTTTCTTTCCTGGCTGCATCTTTGCATATTTTCATTAGGTGTAACTCAGTAAGATCTTCACTACCCAACCTAGTTTAGGTATTCATATCTTCTGTATTCTTTATATTGTTATCCCTTGTAACATAGTATTTGTTTCATTAATTTGCTTGTTTCATTAATTTGCCTCAGATGATTATTTTATATTTCTAATAATTTTTGCTGCTAGTATTAGCCCTTAACATTAAATTACAAAATTTGTTATAAAATAATTGTAATAAGCTATAAGCTCTATATGGGTGTCTCATGCCTGTAATCCTAGCTACTCTGGAGGCTGAGATCTGAGGATCATGGATCAAAGCCAACCAGGACATTATCTACCATAAAAGCCATAAATAGAGCTGTGGCTGAAGTGATAGAGCACCATCCTTGAGCAAAAGAGCTTTGGGACAGCACCCAGGCCCTGAGTTGGAGTCCAGTACTGGTGCATGCATGTACACACACACACACACACACACACACACAGAATTCTAATTAAATATTTTACTAAAGATTTATAAATATGCTTATATTTATAAATATACAAAGGAGGGGGTAACAGTGCTCTATAGGAAATATACTCATTACCTTACTCATGTAACTGTAATCCCTCTATACAATATCTTTTTTTTGTAGGGGGAGGTCCTGTCGTGGGGCCTGAACTCTGGGTCTGGGCGCTGTTCCTCAGTTCTTCAGCTAAAGGCTAGCGCTCTACCACTTGAGTCACAACATCACTTCCGGCTTTTTTCTTTTTGCTTATGTGGTGCTGAGGAATCAAACCCAGGGCCTCATGCATGCAAGGCAAGTGCTCTACCACTGAGCCATCTTCCCAGCCCCTCTGTATAGTATATTTACAATAAAAATAGATTAAAAACAATGAGAACAACTCTAGCAGTCACAGAGTAGAAAGTGAAAATATATTTATAAATATAAATATGGTAACTAGATACATGACACCTTTTGGATTAGAATTTAAGTATAAATCATATAAATCAAAATTTCATCTTTTAGAATGTTTGCTCTCATCCAGTAATAATTTTCAAGACTCTTTCGACAACATTCCTATATTAGCAGTGATATTCAACAACAACCCACTTACTGTGTACTGCTATTCCTTGTTGATATTGTTAATCAGAATCTTGGCATCTAAAATTAACAGTGGCTATCAAGGGCAGCAATTAAGGACATTTGTCTTCCAAATGAGTCAATGTGGACTCCACTGGAAGCTTAAATTTATGTACAGAAGGCACTTGTAGCAGTGTAAAGGGTAATAGGGGCCCTGAAGGCATGTGTTGCAAAGCAGTAAGTCATTTCAGGGTTGTAATAACAAATTATATTTTTGAGGAAAACTATTCTCTTGCAATGGGAAATGCATTTCCTAGCAACCTCACTTTGTTGATTAAATTAAAAACCACATCAGTTTTGATATGAGCATGCATATAAAAGGTATTTGGTCAATACTTAAAAGACAGTATTCATTTTCAATTTGCTAGACTTTGGGCTATTTTAAGGAATTATGTACTCCTAAGATGAATTCGAGGATGCCCACAATATATTTTTGCTTTTGGAAGAGTTTTTAGGGTTATGATGTCACCTGGCCCATTCTGATGTATGTTTGGCTACTGACATAGCTCTTCTCTCTCTCTCTATCATTACTGAGGGATATGACTTTCATGAATATTTATATTGCCAAACTTTTGATGAGGAGAGTGAGATGAATTTTTACCACCTATTATCCTGTTGTTTCTGGTTCTAGAAATCACTCTGTTTCTTCTCATAGATCCCCATGGAAACTAAACAAATAAGCTACTTGAAAGTTGACAGGTTATTGGTTTTTCTCATTAAAGCTGCTGCTGGATTTTCATTAGTTGTAATCCATTTTCTTTCCAGAATAGACATATACACCAGTTCTAACTTTCATGATTTGAATAAACTAAGTATGTGTCTGGTGTGTGCCTGTAGAGATGGGGTAAGAAGAAAAAGTAATCATTCCACTTTAGCAATGCAATTGCAATACAATTACCCCAGAAAATAAGAAATAGGTGATTAGATGAAGTAGAACTTGGGAGAGTGATTGTAGGCTAATCAGATTGATTTTGTGGTTTAGTTATACCTCCAAATCATAGTTGTTTATGAAAGTAATCTAAACAAAGTGTGGAAGAGTATATCTCAATCTCCAATGATGAAGTTTTATATGTTGTTTCATTTGCTATTACCAGCAGCTTTCATAGAATTATTTTAAAGCTAAGGATTTGATAACACTTCAATAGTAGCTTTACTTTTTTTAAACTTGCACTACAAAGAACAACAATTTACACTCTTTACTTCTCTTCACTGAAATGTTAAAATTATTTTTTAATCTTTATTGAAAAGGTGATGAACAGGGGATTGCAGTTACAAAAATTATCTAAAGGTAATGTGTATCTCAGGAAACTTGACAGTACATGTGTCATAGATATTTTTAAAATAAAAAATCAGTGCCTCAGCTTTCCTTCTGAAGCTTGTTTGTTGCTTATTCAAATAGAAAATGCTAACAGGTATTTTTTTTTTTTTGGGTCCAGTCATGGGGCCTGAACTCTGGGCCTGGGCGCTGTCCCTCAGCTCTTCAGCTCAAGGCTAGCACTCTACCACTTGAACCATAGCGCCACTTCCAGCTTTTTTCTTTTTGCTTATGTGGTGCTGCGGAATCGAACCCAGGGCCTCGTGCATGCAAGGCAAGCGCTCTACCACTGAGCCACCTTCCCAGCCCCTAACAGGTATTTCTTTTGATGTGAAAACTTGAAAAGGATAACGGTCACACTATTGTTGAATATGAGTAACGCATTACATATTTTGCTATATAACCTTGGCTTTCCCCAATGTTTCCCTAACTGTACAAGATTTGTTTAGTGTATAACAACAGCCCTCTTCATCTTTCCAGGTGGCTGCACTTTTGATGATGGTCCAGGAGCCTGTGATTACCACCAGGATCTGTATGATGACTTTGAATGGGTACATGTTAGTGCTCAAGAGCCCCTTTACCTGCCACCTGAAATGCCTCAAGGTGAGCTGCATTCAGTTTACTCATCATTGGGAGAATACTTTGGGGTCTATGTAGCATTTTCTCATCTTAATTATAAAACAGTAATTTATTTGTTATAAAAATTAGTTGGCCACATCTCAGACTCTTAAGTTGTTTTTTTGTCTTTCTTTCCATTTGATCCAATAACACTGAGAGGATGGATTTCTCTTCCATGATCAGAAGGCAGACTGTCTCCTTCTGTAGCTGATCATGAACATGCCATTGGCTGGGAGATAAAATTGTCCAGTGGAGATGGTATTTTCTGAATGAATTATATAAAAATAGGGATAAGACATACTCGTTGTTTATCTAGACCTTGTTATATCCTTTGATTTTTTTTAATGTTTTGAGATAATACAATTTCTTATTTATTTGTTTATTTATTTGGTCACTTGTGGGGCCTGAACTCTGGGCCTGGACGCTGTCTCTCAGCTCTTCAGGTCAAGGCTAGAGCTCTACCACTTGAGCCACAGCGCCACTTTCGGCCTTTTCTGTTTATGTCGTGCTGAGGAATCAAACCCAGGGTCTCATGCATACAAGGCAAGCACTCTACCACTGAGGAATCTTCCCAGCCTGATTTCTTATTTTTTATGACACATTGTTTGATGTTTCCTTTTTACTTGTGAAAAACACATTAAGATAGTATATGAACATGTACATTTCATTATCCACAATCCTGAACTAACATTTGTGCTTTCACATCTATATTTTAAATTGGAACTAATTCTAAGTCATGTGTTTAAAAATAACATGTTTAATACTAGAACTAAAAATGTAAATATATGTAAAAATGGGACAATTTTCCTTCTAATGATTAAACATGAATAAAGTATATAAGTATAAATTATATATAATTATACATGTAGAATCATTATTGTATGAAATCAATTGATGTTGATTTCCTATTACTAATAATTTAAATAGCTTTACTCTTTTTATTATGAAATGTAGATTTTTTCACAAATTCAGATAGTTCTTCTAAACTTAATGTGAATTTAGTGGAAGTCTCAATTTAATTGATTGACATTATCAGTAGCATCTCTGCATTTGCTACTTATTATGTTTTATAGTATCAAAAGAAAACAACCAGAACACTGATCAAAAACATACCACAAGTTCACAAAATAAAAGAAAGCAAAACCTATGGGTTACCATTCATAATGGTTGGTCATAAATGAATATGGTAAATATATCCTGTGAAAATTTGTTTTGTCTATCATGTGATATGCACATAAATTAAAGTTGTTTTTTATTCTGAATTGTTGCTATCAATGAGTGAATATCAATGAGTGAGTATCAATGAGTGAGAAATAGTTATTTCTCGGGCTGGACAGATTTTATTTTTATTTTTTTAATTTTTGTTGCAACAGGTCCACCTGTATCCTTATTTAAACAACTTGTTTTTCCCTTCCCCTCCACAAATTATACCGACATCAAATACAGTGAAACCAGGGGTTATACTGTGGGGGAGGGACATACAAAGCAACAAAGAGATAATCTTATAATTGAGTTAGAAACAAATGCATGAAAGAAAAAAAACATTTAAAATACATATCTTAGGGTTCATTTTCCTAACATCACCTTATCTGACCTTTTCCGCTTGACTCATATATATACTAGATATTGCAAATAAGGGAAACCATGGGGCCTATGTTTCTTTGGGCTTGGCTTACTTCACTTAATATAATTTTTTCCAAGTCTTTCCATTTCCTAACAAATGGGGCAATGTCATTCTTTCTGATGGAGGCATAGAATCAGATTTTATATATGTATATATATATATATATATATATATATATATATATATATTGTAGCAAATATATTGGCACTTGGTAGTGGACAGCCTTTCCTTCTTATGTTTGACCCCTACATTGTCAGCAGACTCATTTATTTTTGTGTAGAGGCTTTGTATTTTTTTCAGAGGCGCATAACCTTATTTTCCTGGTGCATTTTAATTAAGGAAACTACTGTAATTTTTCACTTGAATTTTCTCTGTGGTATATTTAGACTGAATTTTTCATGTAAAACTAAAGGGGTGGGTTGAAATGCACACATTTTGACTGTTTATCAGCAGAGAATAATCAGAAAGACTTTGATTTATGGAAATGTTACCATTACTAATTGCCATTGATGGTGGGTAATGAGTAGCTGAAGAGATAGTGCAGGGTGCGGATGACCTTGTTGGCTCACCTTTATGCACAGCTTAATCGATGGTTACAGTAAAAGATGATATGTGCATAAAATGAAGGTGTTTGAAATTCACCCACATCCTCCAATTAATAGGACATTAAGTAATTAATCATGCAAAGAAGGGTAAAAGGTCATGGGCACTTTATTTATTTTTGTCCAATGATGTAACTGGTTAGTCTGGAGAGAGGTGAAGGAAAGCACTCATCTAAGTACTTTATATTCTCTTTTAACAAGAAATACTCCATTTTCTTAAAAGTACAAATTGAGCATGATCTGCTAAGATATTAGCAAAAGGACATAAAAAATGATTTTTAAAATAGTCTTAATGATCACTTCATTTTCAAGGAAACAGGCAGGCATGCTTACTTTCTTTTGGTTACTCAACACACATACACACACACACACACACACACTAGTACAAAACATTTATCAATTCAGTGGTAAGAAGGCTGCCTCACCAACATGAATGTGTTATTGAAGTCTGTAATACTTGGACATTGTTAATTGCCTTTAGTGTCCATTGTTTATTGTCTTTTTTTGGTGTTTTTGGCCTAGAGGGGGGAATGATTAGAAAGGGAAAATTAAAAGCATAGAATAAAAGAAGAATGAAGATGGGCAGAAGGAAGCACAGAGAAAAAAGAAAATAATTTCTCCACCTGAGAAAAAATTTTATTTCAATAATTGATCTGAATGTTCTCTATAGATGCACTTTTTGGGGGCTGGGAGCAATACTGGGATTTGAAGTCAGGTCCTCACTCTCTGCTGCATGAAGTACACCACCAGCTCTTATTTGCTTTAGTTATTTTTAGATGGGCTTCTGTTCTCCGACTATAACTTTTCTTTCTACATCCTCCATGTTGCTGGGGATAAAGGCATATTTGTTGAGATGGAGTTCTCACTAACTTTTCCCTGTGCTGGCCTTGAATTATAATCTCCTGATCTGTACTGCAATAGTAGTTGGGAACACTGGCATGTACCACTACATCCAGCAGCCCCATACAGTGCTTTTGTCAGATGACAATGATGCTGGCTAAATGCTGGCTAAATATGTTTGAAAATAACATGTAAAAGAATGAAACGCTGATCAAAAGAGTTTTAATGGCAGGAAGTTACAGAACATGAGCACATACTGTACTAAGTCCTCAAAGAAATGCAAATTAAGAATGAGAAACTATGACACAGATGACAAGAGGACAGTCATGAAGCTGGGTTTGGTGAGAGGAATGTGGAGCAAATGAAACCCTCACATAGTACTGTGGAAGATAAGTCTGTGTTTCCAGTTACTTTGTATAAATTAACAACAAGCTAATCCATTCAAGGTATAAGACTAAGAGATCCATGTAAAAAAGTTACCCAGCAAAAGTACAGAAAGGTTCACAGTATTACCATTCATATGCATGCCAAACCAAATATAACTATAATTTTTTAAATAATGTAATGGTCAAATAAATGAGGATACAGTCATATAATGGAATATCACTACTTGATATAAATGAATAAAATACTACCACACATTATGCCATAGGTAAAATTTGTAAACATGTTGAGGGAATCAATCCTAACCTAAAAGAATACACATTATATTCCAGTAACATAAGCTTAAAAACAGGCAAAACCAATGGGCAAGTTGGAAATCCAGTTAATATTACTTATACATTATTATCAATGCTGGTTATTTTTTTCTTGGCCTCAATGTTGCTTTTGTAGCTATTCTCAAACTCTAAAAACACTTTATGCTCTCCATTGGTGAATTATGTACTTTCTTGTATTGACCTAAGTTAACAAACAGTGACAAAGTGTGAATAAAACCAATGCTCATACAAATAGTATTGGGAAAACTAAAATAATAATTAAGTGTTATATATTAGAACAAAACCTAATCTGATATCCCAAATGATTACATATTCTTGGTCACTTTTCATCCTGGATTTTTCGCTTTGTATAGACATATAAAAATACTATGTTCTCTGACATCTTAGGTTCTTAGTATGACCCCCGCCCCCCGCCTACATCTGCTTATATATTTCCTTGTTTGCCTATTCTTTTTATCAAATTGTTACCCTTATTTTATTTTATTTTTATTTCAGCATAAGTTCCATCAAAAATTGGGATGATTTTTTTCCCAAACTGGCTTTGATTTCTTCAGTTTCTTCTGTACTCAAACCAAATCTATTCCCACCTGTATTTTGTACAGATTGAAATGGCTGGTGTTGTACTGGTACCATTTTTCACATGTTCCCTCTCCTGATAGACTATAATGTCCTCATGAGTATACCCCATACTTTTTCATCTTCCATTTCCAAGACCATATTCAGTTCATTTTCTTAGGGGGAAAAATGCCAACTTCTATAATATAAAGTTTAAAATATTTTGGTTAGAATTGAAATGTTGAAGTTTTTTTTCTCTTGTTAAAAAGTAATTGAAGAAAAAAATTCCATTTTCCAAGCAATGTACTAAATTTGGATTTCAATGTAATTAGAAGACCCTCACATAAATATTGGTATTAGGCCTTTACCTTTAAAAATGAGATCACCTATTTATTTGAAAAACACTAAAATTTTATTAATTTTTTACCAAGAAAGACTTCCTTTTAGCTTCCTTTGTCTATGTTTCTTGTCCTCCTCTCTGGAAATCAATGCCTGTAGTCTGCTTCTCAGAAACCTATAATATAAAATACATACTCAGAGAATGAGCTTTGTTGCATTGAACTAGAAATTATTTTTCGAATTTAGAAATCTATGCATATGACCTTGTTTGTCACCTAGTCTACCTATTCTTTTTGCTTATGACCC